ACCGGGATCTTTTAACACTGGGATATGCTCCATCATTCAGTATCAAATGATCTGTAAATGCAGCGTCGAACTGGGCCTTGTTTATAAAACATTAATCACTGAAATGACTTGAACAAACAAACACATGTGCGCAACACTGTTGCTGTCCCGGAAAAAAAACTGCAACCACTGTTCCCTTAACGCTGGGTTCTTTAGGAAGCTGAAATAGGTTATTTTTCCCTCACAACCAAAAACACACTTCTTTTGAAGACATTCTTCTTGAGCAAGTCCTGTGCAGAGCTGCCGACGACTTTCGTAACCCAAATGAAGCACGTTGATGGGCTGCTCTTGCTCTGGTTGCTGTGCGCGCGCTCCTCCGGGAGAAATGCTCATACAAGGGATTCCGCTATTTATGACATCATGAAGGGCCATACTCGAAAACGTTCCAAAATGTAAACTTTGGCCATGTTTAGCATGAGAATCCAAGTCTTTAACAGTGTAAATAACTCTGAATGCATGAAATAGCATTAGACACCCACACCCACCCCCACCCTGCCTTTAAAACAAATCTTACCGGCCCCAAACCTTTGAACAATAGTTTGTTTTGCATCATTTACCTCAACTTTACATTTGATGTTCATAAAACTTTATAATTAACATCCATATTGAGGATTCAAATTGAGAATGTAATTGATTTATTTAGTTTATAGTCCATGACAACTGTTATTGTTTTTTTACTAAATTAAACACTAGAAATAATATATGCATGTCATCCAGCAATTCATTTGTAAATTAAATATGTAATCCATAATTGCATGTAAAAGTAGATTTTTTAATTTCAATAAAGAAAATGTAAGCTTGCTCATTTGCCAGCACAATGCAAGGGTTTTGCAGGCGGTTACAGTGTATTGTTAATGCAGTTTCTGTTGTATTCTGCACGGTTACTAGGATGTTGCTGGGTGGTTACTTACAAGCTCAAATTAAAAGCAGCACACCCCCATGTCTCTGATATGCTTGGTCTGTAGATATTGCTTATCAAAGCCATTTAATGAAGTTACAGGATACCTAAGAATCTGCACGATTTGAGGTGTCATTCATGTGTGTAGCAAAGGACAAGTTACATACCGAAGTTTAATGCTTGGAGTTTGTACTGCTTTGTCTTGGCAAAGAGCACTCATAAATGAACAGCTGGTTTGAATTGCACATACAGATTTTTGACTGCCCTCAACCATTTAAAGGACTAATTACTAGCTTCACTTGTTGGACTTTGCCCCTCATTTGTGAAGTAGCTGTAACCACAAAATTGAGTGTAGTGACCCAAGTCTTTGCACTAATATTGATCTCTGCGTTCAAATGGCGCACTCTGCCCTTGGGCCAAAAGCGCTGCTCCCCGCCCATGCGCTCGGGGGTTGTCCATTGTAGCAGGCAGGGCATCAAAGGCGAGCTGAGTTTGCGCTGTGCATGGCCAAGAATTTGGCACCCTCCCGCACCCCTCTGTGGTCCATGTGCGGACTCTTTTGTTGTGGGATACGCGTTCATACACATGGTAATTAGTCTCATGTGGCTCAAGCCTGCAGTGGAGGTGCTTCCGAGCGGGGGAGGCACAAAGATGGAGGGAAAGTAAGAGATTAAGAGACGTGCGTCAGTAAAAAAAAAAAATTATTTTGCTTTTGGAAGAGTTTTAGCACGTTTGAAAGAAAGGACATTTTCGTGGGTGTGCCGCCCAAGTGAGGTCGTCTCAGAAAAGTGACTAACTGATAGAGTGAGACCAGTTTTTCAGGTTCAGAAACTCTGCAGTGTGCTGCTGCGGTTGAGAGGGGGAGTTCACTTCAGATGGGCCGCATGCCTTCGCTCACGGCCAGACCATAGGTCGGCACACAACAGCTCATGTCTGCTCGAATGGGTCAAAAACTGCTCGTTCTTTTCTGTTTTCAACCCTCTTTTTTTTCCCCCTATAAACGGCACACACTTTGAAATAAGTATTTCGGCTTCTCATCGTGCACCAGCCCCCCAAAACTCTATGCCAAAAAGAAGGGGAGCTTCAGTTCCTGTGAACATGGCATTTGTGTGCTCACAGTAGCCATAAATTAGTTGTGGTTAACATTATAGTTTCAAATTGTGTGGTGTAATTACACGATCACATTTAAATTTATTAAAGTGTCATGAAACGCCTCTGTTTTGGCACTAGTCGTTCACACCTAAGATCGGAAAGACTCAAGTAAGCTGTGGAAAAGTGGGAATGTAGAGCGTAGGAAGAGAGGAGAAAACAACCAATAAGACACAGACCTACAACACACTCATTATACAGAGTAATGAATATTAAAATGTAAGTGGAGAAAAAAAAAAAAGTTGGGGTACTTTGCTGTATTTTAAAAAATATAGCCCTATGACAAACTTCAAAGTGTCTTCACATAGTGAAAAAATCAAATAGGTTTTGATAAACCATTCTTAAGAAATATCATCGAATGAGCATTTAAACTTTCCTGATTTATTGGTCTGTATGAAAAATGAGGAAGAACATTTGATATTTCATAAAATCTACGTCAAGATGCAATGAAATGTGCGCAAACATGTTTGGACCACTACAGTAGATGAAATATGTCCACGAAAACTTGAAACACATTTGCTCCGGTCCGGATATGAACTGTGAACGGCACTGCGAGTGTTGATAAATTCATTGTGTGAAATTCATGTCAAATGCATCTTACAGACATTTGGTAGCCAAACTCTCTCTGACCCTTATATCCCTGAACAACAACAAAAGATGACAGAGTTGAATCAACACCGCTGAAACATTTGTTACCTCATGCATAATACAGTGCATTGATTGGATAAAGAGTTCCTTCTCATGAATAATGTGGAGAAATGCTCAGAAACTGATGATGAAGTCTAGGGCTGGGTGGTATGACGGTGTATATAGTTACCGCGGTATAAAATAACAGATTTTTTTATTCTGTGTATACTGCAACATGTAAATAAGTGGGCGTGGTTAACACATTCAAGGTGGAGCGGTTGCCATGGTAATGAACAACCTGCTAGTTAAAGCGAATATACATAATCCTGTATCGGAGGCTAAATGACTAAATATTGGTTGTGAGGTGTGTATAATTTAAACTACTTAGTCAGCACTAACAGTAGCTGATGTTCAGTTTGCATACTTCTGCTCTCCTTCTAGTCACTACTGTACTCTTCCCTCTCTTGATTAAAGCTCCAGGTGAAGCTAGAGCAAAGAGCAAAACAAGCCCCTTAAAAACGCAGTATAATAAGCAGATACCAAGGAACAAATTTCTACAGTATAACAGTATTAATAGTAGCCAAAAAAATTTAAATAAAGTAAATGTAATGTATTATGAATGGAATATTTCAATATAAAATATTTAGATATAGTGTAAACGATGTTCAGTTTGCATACTTCTGCTCTCCTTCTAGTCACTACTGTACTCTTCCCTCTCTTGATTAAAGCTCCAGGTGAAGCTAGAGCAAAGAGCAAAACAAGCCCCTTAAAAACGCAGTATAATAAGCAGATACCAAGGAACAAATTTCTACAGTATAACAGTATTAATAGTAGCCAAAAAAATTTAAAGAAAGTAAATGTAATGTATTATGAATGGAATATTTCAATATAAAATATTTAGATATAGTGTAAACTGAAGTAAAACAATAGCATGAGATTTAAAAATAATTCAGAATTTAATTGCACCTACAAGTTGCGTTTAATATCAATCAGTTGGGGGCAGTTAATCTAAAAGTTGAGTGAGTTTTTACTAAAATAAATTACCAAATAAAAGTAAACACCTTATTTAAAGTTTAATTGCACCTACAAGTTGCATTTAATATCAATCAGTTGGGGGCAGTTAATCTAAAAGTTGAGTGAGTTTTTACTAAAATAAATTACCAAATAAAAGTTAAAAAAAAATCAAACAAGGTGAAGTACTTTTCATTTCTAAAGTATTTGAGTTTAATTATTATATAAAGCCCTTTTTGTCAATTTTCAGAATAACTACATATTAAAAAAACGATATCGTGAAAAATATCGTTACCGTGAAGTAAAATTAGTCGTACCGTGAAACAGAATTTTGATCATACCATTCATTTTGGTCAATGAAGATGCATTCTCTTTAGCCAGTCATAACTCCGAATAGACGCATTTACTATAACTTTTCTAAAACTTAGTTACTAAATAATGTGTAAATTATTATTAAGTGTGTATTAATGTGTAAACAACCACATGCGGTACATAAGTTGTTGTTGTTAAACACCATACAGCACACCATATGCAAGCGTGATTCATTGCTAACAGTCTGCCTGTTAAAGTGAATCATTATAAAACAAGTTCTTAATTACGGTTAATGTATGTAGAAAAAACTGCATCCTTTTAGTTAAAAATATTACACGTCTTTTAACAACTTTGTTGGTATGTTTAATAGGATATGTCCAGAATTCAGGATTTCTGAACATCAGAGTGGGAGTCCCTCGAGATAATTCTCATAATGCAGTTTCATATGAGTCATGAATAATAAACCAGTCCAAAGCATATCAACATCATTGCTCAGTACTCGTTTTCAGCTTATTATCTAAAATTTGATCTACATTTGCTAGTGTATGGTTGTTTCTTTGTAATTTGCACTGAGTAAAATAAAATGGGACCAACATCTTTGCAGGGAAAGAAATGGAAAGAAAAGCTTATCTTGAGGGGTAGTTGACAAAATTCTTGTATATACTTGAAGATGTGAATATTTGTAAAAATTCATGTCACACTGCAAGGCCATTTAAATGACAAAAGGTGATTTATAATTAGTCACAGCACCTAAAATTTCCATCATAACTTATGAATTCATATACATTTTAACAAAAAACCTAGATGTTGATTAAGGTTCATGGACATGTAATCAAATGCAAATGCCTATACATAAAGAAAACTGCTCAGTTTGCATCTCATGTACAACTATGTAACAAATATGAATTAAAAACCTACATGAACTGCTCGTTAAATGTTCATTTGTTGTATCTTCTATGTGCAGTTACAGGAGACTGTCAAGAGGAAGTTGGAGAATGCTGGTTCACCCCTAGGCTGTGACCAGGTCAACGGTTTCACCGATGGCTACCCGCCCAATAAGAAAGCCTGTGTTGAGGATGCATTGGGAGGTCTTAATGGGGTCTCAAATGGTACAGTGCCTCCTCGCTCACCTATGGACTCCAAACATAACGTGAGTACCGATGCCATGATGGCCAATGGGAACCACAGAGCGGTTGGTGCAGAGCACAATGGGATGGGTCTAACTGATAGCGGTGCATCACATGGCACGGAGTCTGATTTTCGCCTGAAAGAAATGAAGCAGGAGCCGGTGGACGATATCTTGCCCTGCATACTGCCTGGGGGAGGTGGGAATGGAAACCACAACCTCTTCCCTGACCTCAACCTCAACGATCAGGACTGGAGTGAGATTATGGAGGAGTTCAACCGCTCCGTACCCTACGAGGAAATCCAGGAGCTCTTCAGTGACAGTTTTGGAGATCGCAAGGACCCGGAGCTCTCGTCCGCCGGTGCAGCTCAGAGCTTGATGCCGCCAGATCTGGTCAGCGTGAAGACTGAATTTTCCCCCACTATGGCTCCCTCCGCCTTCGATCAGGACTCTTGCAACGGTTCACCTCAGTTGAGACCCACCTCGTCTGGGCCTCCGCTTCACACCAACTCCCCTGCAACGGCTCCGGCCACATCGCCTGTGCAGCAGCATCCGCAACAGCCGCCCATTCAGCCCAGCAGAACACATCCAAATCACCTGCTGCCCGTCCCACCCAAAGACCTGTCCCCCGCGCAGCAACTGCAGCAGTTAGCAGTTCGTGAGCAGCAGAGGGCGATATTACAAAGCCAGCAGCAGCACGTGGTTCAGAAGCCGCCACAGCAAAAACCGCAGCAACAGCAAGCAGCGAAATTCCACCAGCAGCCCAACCACTCAACGTCTTGGCCCCAAAATGCTCCCACCCAAAGTCAAATGGGCGGAACCTTTGGCCTTGAGAAGTCCACCAGCCCTTCTTTGTACCCGCAAGACTTCCCCAACCCCAAGACCCTGCTCATGCCTAGCAAGGGTTCTCCCAAAGCAGGCGCTCCAGCCGGGTACATGCAGCCCGGTGGGCACGCCAACATGTTAAGTCACCCAGCCGCACCCACGGGGCCCCTCAGCCACCCACCCAACCCAGGTGCCCAGGTGGCCATGTTGAACTACAGTAACACTAAACCCCTGTCCCATTATGAGGCTGGAGCACCGGGTGCACCCAGGGGCCCTCCGGCCACACAGAACCAGAACAAACAGAGCCAGGCCATCCTGAACCTGATGCGACAACAGCAGATGCAGAAGCAGAGGCCGGCGAGCATGAACTTCAGACCAGTACACCACCAGCATGCTCCGGTAAGACAACCTTCTCACTGCACTCATCACATCTGTTGCTAACAAGGGGTTTTGTTCACCCCAAAAAAATTGTCATGTACTCACCCTCATGTGAGTCCAAACCCATAAGACTTAATCTTCGAAACTCTGATTTTATGTATGGGTGTTTATATGTGCATCTATGATGAACTGATTTAATTTAGACTTTTATTTTACACATAAACACACATTCATACAGTACATCACGTATGGTGAACATGGACGCGCTTTTGCATGTGTTTCAAGCTACAGCAAACCTCATTGGTTCTCGTGCATCATGTTTGAAACTTAATTTACCATATTTTTACCATATTACCACACTTACCATAACTTAAATTAACTTATAGTTTCACTAAAATATATTAATTTGTGTTTCAAAGATTACCCAATGTCTTACAGGTTTGGAATGACAGAAGGGTATGTAAATGACAGAATTTTCATTTTCGGATGAAGTGTTTTTTTTTTTACCTTTATTTGTATAGAGCTTTAAACAAAACAGATTGTCAAAGCAGCTTTACAGTGTCAAACAGGAAAATAGTTAGTCAATAATGCAAGAAGACGATAACAGTCATTTTTCCAGATAAAGTCACTTCATTGATGATTGATCATCCAGTTCAGCTCTCTTCCAATAGTGTCAACATTCCAAATTAACATTTTTGATAAAACAATCGTTCCAAAAAAAAAAGTTTATACTGACTTTAACAACTTCACACTGTATTTAGATATCAAATCATATAAAATAAAAACGTCATAATCATTCGTTTTTAGAAAGTACTTAAAACAAAACTAATCTGTATTTGTAACTACATGTGTTCTGAAGAATCAATATGTCACTGTCTTGAGAGCCTTAAAAGGATAGTTCATTCAAAAATGAAAGTTGTCAACATTTACTCACCCTCAAGTTGTTCCAAACCTGCATGAATTTCGTTCTCCTGCTAAACACAAAATAAGGTATTTTAAATAATATGGGAAACCAAACAGTTTCTGGTCCCAATTGAGTTCCGTAGTATTTTAATTTTTTTCCATACTATGTAATTCCAAAAGAGTACAAAGACCTTTTTATCACTCAAATTCTGCAGAGAAATCGCACAAGACACTGAAAGATGAAGTATTCTAGTGCACATGTGTCGTGCTGTCAGATGAAGTATATGTGTTACTCTGACTGTGGTAGAGAAGGGAATTAATATTAGGAGCAGGGATGGGCAGTATTTATGATACATGTATTTCAAATACTTTAGTGTTTTGTAGTTTTAAAATATTGTAAAATACTTTGTAAGAAGTCTACATGATGACAATCATATAAATGCGGCCTCTGATGGGTGCTACTCAATAGGCTAGTTTGCCCAGACTTGAGATCAGAACAGAAAATTGATGCATATGGAAGAAGTTGGTCAAGGTAAGAAACGTGCAGGCTGCCAGCTTTCCATCAATTTTTTTTTGCATAAATTGCTATAATTTTTAACAGTTCATGTTAAGTTTGTGTTCGTTTTAGTAGCCTAGGCTAAATAGTTTACCAATTTACATAATGTTCTTGAAAACTATTATACCGAGCAGCAGCCCCACAATTAACGTTAGCTTGCTACTTTCAGCCTATGTTAAGTTCGTCGGTTGTACACGAAAAAAATAATAATACAGCGTTTCAGTGTTGTACAACATTACATTTTAATGCCACGATATTGGTATAATGGTCTAAACTCGCGTGGAGCAGCAGCATTTACTGTGCGCCGCTCTGAGACACGGATATGACCGCGTGTGAAAGAGCATAGCAGAGCTGCACACGGCAGCGTGTGTGTATTGTAAAACCTGTTTCACACCGCACCGCACATCGGCGTGAATGTTAATCAACAGGAAGAAATTATCAATGATATTATCAGATTCCGGAAACGGCTTCTGGAAAGAACATGTTCATTTTCATTTTCATTTGCACAATGTGAAAATGTAAACGTTGTAAAAAGTGATTAATCCACCTCAGAAGAGTCAAGATAGTTGTTCAGTGACGTGCTTGACAGTCAAGTCGAAAAAACAGCTTATATTTCTCTTAAATTTGTGACATTTCCAAACAGAGTGTGATCAGCACTGCTTTAATAGAGAATAGATCTAACAGCCACTTCAAGTGCAGTCAGAGGCCGCAAAAAAAAAAAACACACCCCCTTCTAGGAACCCCTTCTTCTCCTCATCCGCTAGCCTTGGAGATATTATTGGCAGCAGGGAGCGTTTCTTTCTGCAAGAGTGTTTGAGGAAATGAATATAACTACCCTCAGCACAGAATTAAGCAATGAGGCATTTGGTTAGACGTATCCATATAACAGGAATAATGCATGCTTTTTGTGTAACATGAGTGGCGATGCAATGTACACAAGATATTTACACAAGATATTGAATAAAATATTTACTAAAATCGTTCATCAAATGTTAACAACTGCCATTTGTGCTACTGAAGTATAATAAGAAAAGCTATTTATACATCTGTAAAGTTGGCTATTGTGATGTACAGTATATCTGACTGAAATGGTTTCTTGAATAAGATAATGTAGGGCGGGACATGATTTTGTCGTCGGGCATTGATTGGATCATTGCTGTTTGCTGATTGTGGTGATCTTTGCAGTGACCGGTTACTTGAGGGATTGTTGTTCAGCCCTTGTGCCAGTGAACACTTCAACAGGGAGGAGATGTTGTTGCAAGGTGGAAGGGGTCTTTTATAATATTTATATTATTTTGATTTAAAAAAATGATGAGGGCACGTGAATAAAAAAAAATGTCTATGGATAAATCATTTATAATAAACACTGCGATAAAATAAGAATAGTCCATTTTGACTAATGGTGACCAACAGTCATGAATAAATCATCCCAGTCGGCATCGAAATATAATACATGATATAAAAACACATCCAGCTCGAGGGGTTTTTTATCCCGTCGGCCCGTGTTTGTGTGTCTGGCAGTGGGCCTCATGCACCCCGGGGTTGAACAGTTTGTCTGGGTCAGGCAGCTGGTTGCTAAGGAGCAGAGAGCAGACAGCCATTCACACACACACATTGCGGTGGGGGCAGGGATGGGCTGCCAGAGATGGGTCAACAGAGAAAAGGACCGGCAGAGCCAGAGAGAGAGGGAGGGAGAGGAGGGGGCGACAAAGCCGTCTTTCATGCGTGCTGCCTGCCCACCCGACCGCCCCTGGCTTTCGTCCTGCGTGGAGTATTTTCGGATTAGCCCCCGCACTTTAATCATTCTTTCTGTTTAAATATAGCTGTTTATCCCTATTTGGCTTTTACTATTTTGCGAGATATCAACTTTTTTTGCACGGTTTATCGAATTGCTATTGTTAACTCTCTTTTGTAAAATCTCTGACCGCTTCTCACTTTTCAGATAACGCTGTTTCGTGTCGTCATTGACCTCGAAATACCTCCGCACTGAGTGTGTGAGAGAGAGCATGCAAGAGTGTGCGGGGTGTTTGCTGTGAAAGGGTAGCAGCCAGCGCTGGCACCTCTGATATATTTTTAAACTATCTTCACCACTGCCTGTAGTCCAGAGGTGCTGAGGGAGCTTTTTGCCTCACGATCAGGTCAGATCAGAGAGGAGATGTGCTGTTCAGCTACTTTGATGCTTGAATTTTAATGGGAGTTACAAAGCAGTGAGATTTGAAGCATTCAGCTGGTGTGGATTGCATTAATTATACTGTAGGAGGGGGAGTCACACAAAACCTGCCAAGAATGTGTCCTAGTTATACTTGACCACAAAATCAGAAGGAAGAAATAAGACATTATACTTGGAGAAAATAAAGCCTAATTTTAGGTGTTAAGGACCATTAATATTTGCTACCCAAATTCTGATTCTTTCTGTAATGCAGTGCCATATTAACGATTATATCAAGGAAATTTTTCTTTATATACATATGTAAGAAATATATAAATATTATAATATAAATATATTAATATTTAATATTTTAAATATTAAAATTTATTTAATATTTAAGGGGTCATGAACTGCATTATATAATTATTTGATGTTTCTTGAGGTGCACCTATAATGTAAATATGATTTTTACATCAAAAATTGTCATAATTTAGAAATAAAAGGCCATTTTATACTCTGATTTGAACGCTCTGTTGGAAGGGGTGTGACTGCTGTGAGACTTCAATGTAACGCCCACTGCTATAATTGGCTACAATCTTTTCATATGAAATTTCATAAGTGTTACATGTGAAGCTCTTAACACGGATACTTACATGTTATGTCATTACTGCCAGATCCATATTTTGCAGTAAAAGTCTGTTTGCAAAGCCTGCACAGAAACTGTGACTGATTTACCAAAGAATCCACAATGAAACGTACTGAACAAACAAATAATGCTCTACTGGGACATCCACATAGTTAAATAAATAATCACTTTCCTAGCATCAGTATACTTTAGAAGGTAATGTTATTTTTAGTCTGGCAGTGATCCTGTGTTGCTGATCTCTCCTTCTCATCTCACTAACGCACCAGTGGGCGGGGCCAAAGATGTAGAAGTAGGCATTGATCTGATTTTGCAGAGGTGGGCTTTCATTGCACTATGGCGTCATAATGTGAGAAAATCTGAAATGAGTCATTTTCTGATCTTGCTTTCAGTAAAAGCTGTTTTTGGACTAACAAGGAAGTTTTGAGGTCTGAAACTTACAGGAAGTTTTCATAGTACAATGACCGCTTACATGTCAAAACATCAAGGAAAATTTGATTTCTCAATTCATGACCCCTTTAAACCTTCTGTAATTTGTAGTGTTTAATAAGTCATCTCTCTCTAGCCTGAGAATTATTATTATTATTTTTTTTTTACACAAAACCCAGTGCTATAAATATCAGAGCTGTACTCACTCTGGTCTTCGGTCAGACTTTGGATTTTCGGAACCAAATAGACCTGTGAAGACCTAGAAATGGGATGTAGTCACTTGCTCCCCTGGTCACCTCCAAATATAGTTAAGGTGATTAAGTGTTTTGGACCTGTATTTCTCTCCAAACAAGACCTCTAAACAAGTTTTTCTTAAAGTTAAAATAAAGTTGCGCATGACAAAGAGCTGCCTTTCTCTGCAGGTCAACACAAGTACCTTTGAAGTGCCATGTGGCAACTCCTCATCTGCTAACCTTGAAGATAATATTGGCCACAGGGAGTGTTTCTCTACTATAATGTTTGAATGTAATTTCCCACAGCACAGATTGAAGATTACGACTGCAATAAGGCATTTAGTAAAGCATATCTATATAAATGAAAGTGGAAATGTAATTAATTGCTATACAGTTGGTTACAAATGAAAGAAGAAACTGCAAGCGGATGTTAAAATGAAGTAAAGATGTGTGGTCCTCTCATTCTCCACAGCTTGTAAGAGAAAAGAGCTTTTCCTGTCAAATCTGAAATATTTTGTCTTCTGTAATTGCTAGTGTTTAATAAGAGACATTTCTGACTCTGTCTCTGCAGGATTCGGGGTCCTACCCCTCCACAGCTCATGTTCCTGGCCAGGGCAACACCATGACACCACAGCAGAGCAGCAACAGCATCCCGGCTAACCATGGTAGCGCGGCCTACATGAAGCAGCAGCAGCAGCAGATGCAGTTGTTGAGTCAGCAGAAGCAGTTCCTCCAGAGGCAGATGATGGCCGAGCAGGTACCATTTCCAGTGTTCTTATTTTTGCTTCTGTAGACCAATTTCAGTGTTTGCAAACAGTGATGACGGTTTTTGTGGGCGGAGCCTATCTGGTGGCAGAAAACGTTTTAACGTAGCAGTCTATTCAAGTCATGGAATAAAAGAACAAAAAATGTAATTGAGTTTATATTTCAAAACTCTTGACTTTTTTTCTTGCAATTCCAAGATTATATCTCACAATTCTGGTTAGAAAAAATCAACTCGTTATTCTTTCTTTTCAGTTTATAATCCCACACTTCTGGCTTTTTTCCCTCAGAATTGACACACTCGCAATTGTTGAATTGAATCAAGTTATAAAGTCCAAACTAGGAGATATAAACTTGCATTTGCAAGAAAAAAAAAGTCAGAATTGTGAGAGAAACCTAAACATTTTACATAACATTTACCTATTTTAAGTAGTATTTCATGCATGTATTTCAACTGTAGGGCTAATACAATATGTCCCCTATATGCATATTATATAGACCTATTGTTTAAATCAAATTTATACTTTAAACGTAGGGTAATCATAGCAGGTTTCATCCATAGTTTGTCCGTTTAAACGTCTGCGTTTAGCTTCAAATGGCTTCTTTGAAGACTGTATTATATAAAAATGATTTGCATTCCGATTCTGACATCCAAAGGCACAACAATACATTTTTTCTCTTATTCTATGGATTTTACCCGTTTCCCTCCACTTGTTCCCGGTGTTTTTCTGCCACCACAATGCGCGCGCAGCTGCAAGTGACGTAACTGTGACTTCAAATTGGTCTATACAATGCTAGCGGTAGTAACATGATTAAAGACGGCAATGTTCAATAAATACATTTATTAATCATCATCATCAACATAATTAACAATTCTTTCTCCAAATAATATAGTTTGTTAAACTGTGGGTGATATTGTGGTTGCAAATATAGAATTCATTGGTGATTTAAATTAGCCACTTTTGAAGTAGCTGTAAAATATAAACCAAATTTAGTGTCAAAACTCTGTCTGTGTGTGTGTGTGTGTGTGCGCAAAAATTCTTGCTAAAGTTTCATCCATCAATTCTCAGAGTTGTCCTGAGGTCCACCTCCAGGGGGCAGCAGCCTCACAAGAATAATACATTTTTTTGCCACAGTGTTGTTCCCCTTCACGACAGTATTTGAAGCGATAACTGAAGTGTGTTTGTCCCAGGAGAAGCAGCGGCAGCAGCAGGAACAGCAGCTTCAGAGGCATCTGACCCGTCCACCGCCTCAGTACCAGGACCAACAGAACCCGCAGGCTCAGCAGAACCCATTCCAGCAGCAGGTCTCTCAGTTCGCTGGTGTGCCGCCCTGCCTGTCCCAGCAGCACTCCTCCGGCTTCAGCGAACACACCATCTCCGGTATTCACCTTTCTCTTCTTGATCATCAGTTGCCCCCTTTTACACCTGCTGCTTGTTACATGTTGTCCAGAATGCATGAGGACACATATGGACGGATGCTAAAAATGAGATGTGGTCACAACCGGACCTGACCAGCTCCAATAATAATTTTAGTGATCAAGCGGTTTGGACCCAGTCTGGACTTGAGATTGGATCACAAGAGTCACAGGTGTAAACAAGACCTCTGTATTTCTGATTACGAGAAAAGTTCAGTATGGCATGAGTTTCCTGGCTCTGTAGGTCAACACAAGTAGCCTTTTGTTACAAAAGGCCCACACACAAGTCCATCTGATTTGCAAGTGTGTTTATTGATAGACTCATTTGAATGACAGGGACACAGTATGTTCAGTGTGCGCTGCCGTTACATACAGCATCAATCATTCATCTGCGAGTCTACTTTTAAAAGCTTACTTCAACAAAAAAAAAAGGTCATTTATTCACCCTCATGTCGTTCCAAACCTACAAGACTTTGTATTTTGAAGATTAATCAAATGAATATGTTTTTAATCAAATCAAAAAAGATCTAGATTCCTTTTAGGAAGATCCAAAAATATCATAAAGATGCCATAAAATGGGTTAGGGTTAAGCCTAACCATAAACCTAACCCATGTGCTCTTTGTAGGTGTTGATCATTGTTCATCACAAGTTGATCATCAGAAGACTGCTAGATTCAGGTGGATTTGTTTCATGATGCCTTTATGACCTTTTTGGATCAAGGTTTTGCTTGGACTTTCGGGGGTGGGGCAGTAACCTCTCAAGTTTCATTAAAAATATCTTAATTTGTGTTTCAAAGATTAATAAAAGTCTTTTTGGGTTTAGAACAAGAGGTTGAGGATATGATGACAGGAGCAGTTTGTTTTCCCTGCAAAGTGAAGCTGGTAAAATAAAATTGTGGCGAATGAGTTCAGAAAGCCGTTTCGGTGTTGCCAGATCTTGAAAGAGAAACAAGCAGCCTTGTCTGAAAAACGAAGCTCGCAGCAAGCGACTTGACTCATCAAAAATGTTGTGTACTTGTTTGAGTGTAGAGTGTTTCTGGTTTAGTTGAGGAGTATTGCTTAAAGTCTGCATTAAATAAAAATTCACCCTATATATTTTCCAAATCAATTTTTTTTCTCACTGTGAACGATTCATTTTTTTTTTTTAATTTTTATTGTTTGACCCTGTAATTGCAAGTTTGCTTTCATCTGCCTCTACTGCTGTGTGCCACACCCACATCTTTGCATCCAATCAACAACTGATACATAGATTATTGAAAAACTGTAGGGCGGGACTTGGTTCTGTTACACTCAGATGTACATTACAATTCTGAAGACAAGATCTGTGGCTTCTTCCATTTCACTTTAAATTCATTGATCAACATTGAAATCGTTTAAAAAAAAAAAAAAAATTTTACTTAAAAAACTTGTTGTAATTGTGATTGTTTGGTTACTCTGTTTTAGGTGCATCTCAACCAATAGGGAATGTCAACTCTCTCAGTGGCCCCACCCCTGGAACACAACGGATGTTCTCTCAGACACAAGGCATGATGGGAATGGGGGTGGGACAGAATACTGGCCCAAGCACTGGTCCCCCTCCAGCCGCCAGTCAAGCAGACATGAACCTCCCATCCTGCGCAGGCGGTCTCGACGTGCAACAAGTCCTCTACGGCAACATGCCCATGCATCCTTCCCACCCCAACCAGCAGAGACCGCCAGTGTCCTCCATGTCTGCCGCTTACCGCCAGAATGTTCTGGCAGCCCAGCAACAAGCACACTTGAAAAACCAACCCAATGCTGCTATGTTGAAACAACAACAGCAGCAGCTGGCCCGTATGCCCAACAGCATGCCCAACGCCATGACTAATAACATGGGCTCTGCTATGCCCACCTCCATGCCAACCAGTATCCAGGGTGCCTTGCCCGCACAGGCCCAGTCATGGCAGCAGCAGCAGCATCCAGGTCTCCAACCCGGCTCTGCTAACGGAGGCATGCCAGCAGGTTTCCCCAACTCTGGCTTCCACATGCAGCCAAGATTGTCCAAACTTTCCAACAACACCCCGTTTCCCCAGGGTGGCATGGGGAACAGTGCAGCTGGTAGGACCCTGACAGTAATGAATCCTGGACAGATGTTGCCTAACATGAACCAGCAGCGGCCCCCTCCTGGCCAGCAGATGGTCCAGCAGGGGCAGGCGCAAGTGCCGCCTCAAACTCAGCAGGTTCTGCCTGACTTGGGGCCCTTCAGTCAGCCACAGGCCGGACCTAACCGCACCGCAGGACTTCAGTGCAGTCAGGCCTATCAGATCAACAGGACAGCCAATCAGCAGCTCCAGTTTAGCTATAACGCCCAATCGGGAGGCAGCTTGTCCGGGTTTCCTGCCGAGACGGACCTAGTGGACTCTCTGTTGAAAAATCCATCGACACAAGAGTGGATGGATGATCTAGACGAGCTGTTGGCCAGTCACCAGTGAGTGATGGCCATGGGCCAATAACAGCCAATGCTGGTGCCTTTGGTAGAGGAGAAAACATAAACGTCCACTTTCGGATGTTTTCGGAGATGGTGAAACTGCTCCTATCACACTCAGATCTGCTGTGTTCTCTATTGAGTATGTTTATGGTGTATATAAAAGAGGTCAAGTAGAGCACAGAGCCTGTGTCACTGAAGTATTCTCTGGACTGGAAATTTCAAAGAGGGAAATGCTCTACTACTGACCCTGTGGCTCAGTAAAACCACTGAATTTTCTTATGAGTGTGAGCTCAAACACTAGTTGAGCCATTCACACGGTTGTGTTGCCTATGTGTTCGCTGTAGGCATGAGGAGGGTCTGTTCAATGTCAGGAGTGTCTTGAGTCTCTTGACACACTTCCACAGGCCTTAAATTTGCACTCTTGAAGATGCACAATATGTGATTTACAGTAAAACAGTCTAAAGCAGTAGTTAACCCAAAAATGAGCATTTTTGAATCATTTACTAACCATGTTGGTCCAAACCCATGTGACTTTGCTTCATGAGGGATGTCCAGTCCAGCTCCTGGAGGGTCACCTTCCAGCACAGTTTAGCCCCAACCCAAATTCAACACCTGAACCAGCTAATCAATTCTACAGGATCACTAGGAAATAGAGATGGTCTTTTTATGGGGAGATGCCATTTGACGTTGTCCGTTGGCGTAACGGTCAACGTGGATCATGTGTGCCTTGATAAACACTCACATCATATCCTTGACGTCACTGAATTGCTGTCAGAGATGTACGAAGGTCAATAACAGATTGTGGATACCATAGAAATTGAGAAGTGCCGTAAACGGAGTCTTCCCCGATGCAAAACATTTTCACTGTAAACTCCAAAAATGATTACAAATTCCAAAATGGCTGTTTAATGGAAAACATGTTGATTCATATAGTAATAAGCTGCTCATCCCAAAAGCAGTTCATTCAGAGTACTGAAGCCTCTTCTCCACAGACATCCATTCAAAATCAAATGTGGACTGTGGCCCTCCAGAGCGAGATCAGACCTCTGCTTTTAGAGGTTTATCAGAAAACTGACCCTGTGTGTATTATCATTCTTCAGATTGTCTCATTTGTATGTTCCACTAAAGATAGTCATGCGAGTTTGGAACGACATGAGGGAATAAAGGAGCACAACTTTAGTTGAACTGTTACTTTAAGTTCCATATGTTCATTGGTTAGTTTCTCATTGACTAAATTTAGGAAGTAGATGCTTTGTGGTTTGTTTAATCAGACCATGACCGCTTGAAGGAGTGTAGCTGAGACTAATAGTGAGGAAGATGAACTGATGAACTCTACAGTGCTCCAGTGAAAGTAGATTGCGTCATTACACTTTCATGTTACACTACACAAAGTTGTGTGTTGTTGTGTTTTTTTTCTTCTTCTGAAAAGCCCAGAGCTTCTGTGTTGGTGAGAGGGTTAATAGTCCTGTTTGTTTTCTCCCTCTGCTGTCTGATGTTACATTGAGAGCAGGTCAGGTGCCGGTCTGAACCGCGTTACCTGAACTCTCTCTCCATCTGAGATTCTGTGACAGGATTTCATGTATATTTATATATTTTTTTGTATGTATGCCGTTTCTATTGTTCAGGAGAAGATAGATCTTATTTTTATATGTACATTGATGCAAAATTGTGTAAGTATTTTATACTTTTTATTATTGTTCTCTGTAAAACGAGAGTATTGTGTAAATATAGTTCTCTAGAAACGGCCTTGTTTGGTGTGTTTATTTAGCGTTTTGGGTGATTTGTGCATTAGCAACTTAGTTTTGATGTAATGAGGTTCAGGAAAGCTTCAGATAATACTCTAATGCAGGTGAACATGACACGTTCTGATAAATGTAAACCCCCTTTAAAAAGCATCTCAACACACTATCCATGGACAAAATGATTGACAAGTCATGGAATACAAGGATGACTGGCTTAAAAATGAAGGAGGCAAAGGCAACTTTTGTTCAGAAATTGTAAAATGAGTTGTTACACCAGATTTTTCATGAAACTTTGTGGTAAAAACAATTAGCATTAATTTCTTTCATGGGGCAGTATTTTCCATTTACCTTTGTGAGTGCATGCATCATATACCCTCTAGCATTATGTCCTGAAAAAAATCTTAATAATAGTGATGTAATGTGGGTTATATTCATTCCCCGCCCACTCTAGTGTTAATATAAGTGACTGAATAAAAAAACCCGCTTGTGAGTGTGGTTTGACCAGAGATAGAGGATAGTGTCTGGCCTCACTGTCCACAGGAATGATGCTGGAGCAGGTCGTGCTGTTAGCAGCCGTCACAGTGCTGGGATTGCTGGAGCAAGGTAATCACCACATGATGGTAGATGGTCAAGTCAAATCAATATTTGTCCGTTTTTACGGTCAGAGAAACGGATTATACTGTATGATGAAACGCGCTTGTGTCCTACATTACAGGTATTACAAATGTAGCTCGTGCAAGAATGGATTGTAATTGTAGCAGTGATAGTTGGACTTTAATCAAGAGAATGATCAGTAGAGTTACAGTAGAGTTGTCATGTTGGCAAGCCCTGCAAACTGTATTATTACTACTTTTTATCAGCCACTGAGTTTTCGGCTTGATCGAAACGTTGCAATCTGTCCGTAATAAAATCAGGAATAGTTTTTCCAAAAATAAAAATTCTGTCATTATTTAGGCTACTCCCCTCGCGTCCTGCGTTAAAGTTGATCGATATATATATTTTAATGCAAAAGCAAACATTCAGATTAAGAACAGGATATTTTGCAATGTGTGTTAGGGAATTCTTTAACTTCACAATCCGTTTGATGTGATAAATGTGTCTGCCGTCCTGTCAGCGTACTTCTCTCTGAAGGTGATCTCCGCGCGGAGAAAGCACTCGGTCTCTCCACCGGCCACCACCGGACCTCCGGAGTTTGAGAGGATCTTTCGAGCCCAGTAAGTCAGGCGGAATGGGTCGCATTTATCATCCGTCAACTGAATAAAGACACTTATGACTTCACTGAGAGGAATGTTAATCTCGACAGGCTTGGTCTCATTTGTCATATTCTTTCCATTCTTGCCAGAGCAAACTGTTCTGAATATTTCCCCATATTCGTCTTCTCGCTTTGGCTGGCTGGAGTTTTCTTCAGTCAAGGTGAGTTTCCCTGAACTGAGAAACCAAGAAATATCAGGTAGGCTCATGTCAGTTCAACTTTGTGCTCACAGAACATATTAATATATCTTGCTAAAATGCGACAACCAGATTTATAGTTTGTGGTATTAATAAGACTAGCTCAAGCAGCTTCTGCTATACTGGAGTAAGCACAGCCCTGTTGAAAAAAACCAGCATACCAGCATCCCAGCGTCAAAACATACCTAACCAGCATATGCTGGTTTTTTCAACAGGGAGGAACGCACTGCACTCTGAAAATGCCTTGATTTATTTACAGAAAAAGAGAGCATGCATCTAGAATGTTACGTTTGAAAGAATAAAAATGCCAAGATGTTCCTTCAGGCTGGTTTTATAGAGGGGTTAAACCAGACAAGTCTTCAAAGGGGAACTTTCCCTTGTGAGAAGTGTATAAATAATATATGCCTTAAAAGTCTATCTAGATTAAAATAGAAAACAAGTCAATCTGAGATGAACAGCACTCACATTGGCTTTCACCAGAATCTGATAACTCACACCTCAGATTTGCATGTAAACAAAAAATCCCTTGACATGTTTTATGCAAAGCCGTTCTGCTGCTGTTGTGCTCTTCTCAAACACCTCCATTCAGATCTAAAGGAAGAAAAGTAAGCTTAAATTGAGGTGGTGATCAATATTAGGTTAGGTCAAGCATCACAGTTACTATTGCTATTGGGTTTAGTGATCTGAACAAACCCCTCATCCAGAAAATGACATGATGAATTTCTTGCTCTAGCACTGGCAGTGTTCTTCGGGCTCCTGTACCTTTATGGACGGTATCTGTACTTCCACGGCTATGCGGCTTCTGCTCAGGGCAGGTCAGTGATCTAAGACTGTAAGTAGTGTTCATGTTTGCCCAGTCGTGTTGCTCACCTGTTACTGTCCGCTGGCAGACTGGAGCCGCTGTACTTCAGTGCAAAGATGCAGTGGGTGCTGATCGCTCTGGCCGGGCTGGGGGTCGTCTGCACCATGACACAGGCCTATCTGGGACTGGACCTGCTGCACTCCTTCAGTCATGTTCTGGGCCTGACCGAACACACATGAACGCACAAGCGCTGGATGTCTGCAGGAGGCTGGGAACAGGGAAAGCTTTAAAGGACCTGAAACTATTTATTTTTTTGACAACAAAAATATAATTTTTTTCTCCTATAAAGAAAGAAGGTATTCATTTTGTCCATCAAATGGATACATCTCCAAAACAATCAGTTATTCAAATGGTAGCTTCAAATGTTGTTAAATAACTGTCTAGAAACCATTACTGTTAGTATTTCCAAATGTTACAAAAAAAATTGTTTACTTAATATATTATTACGTTTATATTTCAGCTAGAAGCTTTTGATTGAGTTTTGTACTAGCAATGTCATTGCATGCCATTGCATAGTGTGTCTCGGCGCCCCCCCCCCCAAATGATGCATTAGATGCTTTTGATAACATTGATAACTCGTTTTCTTAGCTAAAGCTGATTTCATTGCTAACAAGCCTTTTAAATACAATTAAACCGTTTCACTTTTTGAATAATTTGACCAAAACTCGACTGGAAATGATGCACAATAAAACGATTATTCTCCCAAGTGATGTTTACTGTGATGACATTTTTCGTATGTTTTCTTCATACATCACGTCTCATATTTAATCTCATGTTTTTCACTGACAGTGTTGCCCCATTGGTAAACAAGTACATTAACTTTAGACATGCCTTCGTTGGGGTAAAAATCAGAGTGGTGGAAATGACAACCAGAGACACTTCTATTTTCTATTTTATAATGCTATATTTCCTGTTATCTGGTAATGTGTAAATGCATGCATTTCTGATCTATACACATTTATGAAATTCAAAAGCTAGAATGATGTTTGACAGACTTTGCATTAAAAAAAATAAATTCAAAAACATTCAATCTGTGTATAGTGTTTTGTATTTTTGGCCACAAGGAGGCGCTGGAACTTTGTACATCAGTGTCAGTGGTGAAGACCAGATTTAGTTTTCTCTCTTCTTTTTCCTACATTTCCAGTTGTTCTTTACTGACGAATATGCTGATGAAATGCTGAAACATATTTTCATTTTCCAGGACATTTGATCTGACCAATAGCTGTAATAGTGAGAATGAATGCACTGGAGGCTTCGCTGTTTTGAGGTGATAGGCACAGCTGTACTGTACTGGACATCACTAGTATACTAACAACAACTATGATATAAAACCTCAGTTGAGTCATTTTTTTTTGTATAACAGCACTCCAGCATCACAAACACTGCACCATACCCCCAAAAGCAGTGGGGTGAAATGTCGGACTTGAATCTGACTTCAATCTTTCATGCCAACAGTGATCAAAATTACATATTATGCAAATATGGTTTGATTATTCTAGCATAAACTGTTTGCTAACATTTAAATGTGAATGAAATCTTGTATTCACATCATAGTGGCATTGTTTTCGAATTTGTCATTGTGTTTTCTGACTTGTTATAATGTTTTCTGAATTGTTGTTGTGTTTTCTGAATTGTTATTTTGTTTTTTAGACTTGCATTTGCGTTTGTAATTTGTTATTTTGTTTTCAGAATTGTGATTTGTTTTGCACTTCTCGGCCACCGTACATATCTGTCAAAGAGCAAAAAACATTTAAAATGAAATTCTTCAGTCACACAAATGAAACCATAGCATCATGCTTTAAACTCTTCATACAAAGTGTGGTGAGGGTTCTGTGTTACTACCACAGAGATATGTTTTGTTATACAGCAGTTAGTTGTAGTGTTATGAACAATTGGGTCCACTGGTTAAATGGGTGCATGTGCAGTGATTGTAGGGAGGCTATCAGTTCACTGTTAGATCATGTTAACTACTGCAGTCTGTAGCGTTTCACATTTTATTATTTGCATGTTCCTACATTTATGCATTTATTAGATTATTTTATCCAAAAGCATCTAATAAATGCAAAAGTGTAAACTTACAAAACGGCGATTCAAGGACCCAACAACATTTGAAATATACAATGCCACGTTTATTAGATTACCAGTTAACTAGATTACAAATCAAGCTAGGGAAGCGGAGAAATGCAGACATTTGTTTTTTATTGTGTGTAAGTGAATTGGTTTAAGGGTTAATTTAACAGCAAGATATTAAAGGCCAGATAATCAGTCATTTCCATCTGTTAAATTCTGATGAAACAGAGGTGATAATATTTGGACCAAAAACCTGTATACATAAGCTCTCAAAATATAATTTGCATCTAGACAGTAGTGCTACTTCCTTCTCTACAGTTAAAGACGGGGGTGTTTTTTTTTTTTTAGACAGCTACTTATCTTTTGAAAACCACATTTTGCATGTTATCAAAACAGTTTTCTTCCATCTTAGAAACATTGCCAAGTTATGGAACAAGTCATTTATTTCTAATACAGAAAAACTAGTTCATGCATTCATGACCTAGCCTATAACACTTTCATTGTACAAAAAGAGAGCAAAGAACGTTTACACTATCAAAGAACATTTTCACTTCAGTCCAGCGAATTCAAGCACTCTCAAAAAACTCCCATAATAATCTAAAGCTGTTTACACTGTAAAATTAATGTCTTACTTACATTCGTACATCTTCACTTTGTTGATAATTAGCCAGAGATTTCAGTCAGCCAGCGCGCGCAGTGACGAAACAGCGTGTTTCAGCGTGACTCATCTGAACGCCTCTGATTGGTCTTTGTATTCATAAACTCAACATAATAGTATGGGATTGGTTATAATGCGCAGTGCTTTAAAAACATGTGTGTCTCTGGCTCTGTGCCTGCCAGCGAAAGCAGATTTGAATTTAGCTGCTGGTGATGTCTGGCAGGGGGGCCCTGGCCCCCCCCTAGAACCGCCCCTGATGACCTCTAGACTTCATTATTGCAACGCACTACTAGGTGGTTGAACTACTTGAAATTATTAGTTAGTTTAGCTTGACAAATTACACTTAATTTGCCTACACACACTCTCCAGTGCTAGTGTGTGTAGAGATGAGGTTTAGTGTAATTATTATCTCTTGACTCGGTTTTATCAGCAACAGGATGCGGAGAGCAGAAGGTGTCATGTCGCCACTCGCTTCACCGGCCCAGTGTGAGCAAAGTGAGTGAAACGCCTAAATGAAATGAACCCGAATGTTCTTACATTAATGAAATACGTCTTTGTGAATTAATTGTCATTCATCTGAAACAAACCACTGAACATACTGCAGTGCTGTACACTGAAAAATGGCTTTGAAACCATTTTCATTAGTAGATTTCACAAATAATTACAAAGAAATGGCAAGTAAACAATGTGAAATTTCAAAGTTGTAAAGCATAATCCAATAATCTTATATTTACAATTTTGAAAAATCATTTTTAACAGTGTAGTGTGAGAACCAAAAGGACGATCATTATAGCAGGCCCAGAGGAGCCATTCGTACTTCATTGTCTCTCTCTTTCTCCCTCGCTTTCACTTGAACACACAGGTGCACGTTCTCCAGCTTCACACTGGTTCCAACTGACCTGGCCGCTTGGAGAGGAAGCTGTGTTTTTGGCCAACAGGAAAAAAATCATATGGGATTTTTGCTGCTTCCTGCTGCAGGAAACACGTTCAAGGATGCAGACGGGGTGTGTGGGGGCTGTAGGTCTCTGTGTGTGTGTACCTACTTAACCATATTTTGGGGACAGATTTGTACCCAAAAGTGAGCAAAACCTGACAAAATCGATTCCATTTGGGGAAGTCCTCATTTGTAAAACTGGTATAAAAATAAAGTAAAAGTTTTTTTGAAATTATAAAAATGCAGAAAGTTTTCTGTGAGGGGTAGGGGTGGGTTTAGGTTAAAAAGTGTATAACTATCTGTATATAAAAACAATAGAAGTCTATGTAATGGCCCCGTTTAGTTAAGTAAACATGTGTGTGTGTGCGTGCGTGCGTGTGCGTGCGTGTGTGTGTGAAAGAGAATATACATCTGTATTAAAACAAGGACAGAGCGAAAAGTTTAACACTAATATTAGTTTCTCTAAAGGGGTGTTCAAGTATAAATGGGCTGTAAACATGTTTATGCATTCATTAGCATATTTATGTATCAGTAACTCTTTATATTAAGGTTCCCTTTGTAAAGTGTTTATGAAGGTGTTCAATTAATTACTTACTTGCCTTTACAAATGCATTAAAACAGTGCCTTGTAGGCAGTAATAACCACATTTTTTTTTAAAGGGTGACTTACATACCTGCCTAATAGTGACCTTTATAATGTTATAAATGCTTTATTAAAAAAAAATGTATTCATATTTTGGAATCAAAATATTAAATTAATTATAAATCAAATAAGATGAATCTTTGAAATCTAAATTAATCAAATATCACGATGCAGCAAAAAAAAAAAAAAAACTATAATGGGATTCTCATGTAATTTTTCTTTCCACATATTACCCGTGGTCCTTTGTAAAAAAGAAAAAGAAAAAAAAAAGACTTCAGTCTATGATGCAAAAAACAGTGACCACAGCTTATTTATTCATGAGATATTAATAAGGAATCATTTAATTCCAATATTAGTTACATGTGAATCTTAATCTTGAGTGGACACCAGTAAAATCACTTATTCATCAGTTTTAAACCTTAACAGTAAAAGTGCACTTTAATGAAAGATAGACACTTATGAACCATTTATTTGTGAGTTATAAATATTAAAAGGCACAAGCCATGGAGGAGGAATGGCCGCCGACTCCAGGGGGCCGACCAACGGTGGCGGAGCAGGTGGTGGAGGAGCCCGAGGCGGAGACGGAGAGGATCCGGGGGGCCAGGGTGGAGCCGAGGGCTCTGGTGACCAAGACGGAAGCGGAGTCCTGAGGCGATGGCTGGTCGACGCCTGACCAAGGCGGAGCCGGAGGGACGAGGGAGCCCGGTGGAGCTGATGGATCGACGGGTGACGGTGGAGGCGAGGGAGCTAGGAGCCGAGGTGGAGCTGCTGGGTCTACGGGCCGAGGCGGAGTCCGGGCCTCGGAGGCTGGAGGTGGAGGGGC